AGGCAGCCGCTTTTGTTCCCGTGCCCCGCCCGAGGTGCCGCTGCCAGCGCCGCGCTGGGCCCTCCGTTGCTGTAGAAACAGGAGGCACTCTCCTGTTCCATTGATCAGGATTTTCGGTTAAAACAGACTCAAGCAGCTGGTATTTCGGCTTGAAAGTCTGATAGAGAACGCGTTTGTCTTCCCTTTGCTGCTTCCTCGTGTTACTTTATGAACACCTACGTCTTCTCCGATTGGGAGTAGGAAATCGCCCCGTCCTTTGTCTCTTGGGGAAGGTGATACCTCTTTTTGTTAGGGAGTATTTAAAAGTCGAGGAGGAGCTGTAAGACTGGCAAGGAAAAAATAAGCCCAGCGGTGCTTTCCGAGGTGAGGTGGCATGCTGCGGCTGTCTCCTTGCTCGCTGTGAAAAGCTGAGGATGCGGTTTAGGAAAGAGAATGTGAAATACAGCGTCTTTGCTTCCATCCTATGGTGAAGTCCTCCATTTCTTCACAAGAGAACAATGCCGGGAGGAGAGCCACGTATAAGCGCTGCAGCATCGTGCAAGGTTTCTCAGGGTTTGAGAGACTGATGGATGGTGGACGTCAGTATCATCCCTCGCTGGGCAGAATGGTGTCTTAAGTCATGTAAATGTACGTGGCCAAGAGGATGAAAACTTGAATGTTACCTACAGCAATGCAATTTATTGGGTAAAAGACCTGCTTTGGGGAGTTTTTCAGTGAATGGGAGAATGTAATGGCCTGACATTCTTTCATACAAATTGAGGAAAGAAGGATGCTCTGGGGAACTCAAAGGGAATTTGGGTTGTTAGGCTTGCCATCAGTAGTTGAGGTGACTCGGAAAGCTCCAGCCAAATGCTTTAGAAATCATGTTTATTTCTTCTGTTTGAGGAATTCCTAAATATGTTTTTTCACTGATTCAGCTTTTGATACTCAGTCTGTCTTTGAAATAGCCACCATCACTGTTTGCAGTTGGAAAATAAACCCTTGGGAAAGGAACCCTTCTGTCGGTTAGCATCCTCTGACAAGTTCTGTTGCTGGGGACATGATGTTTGACTGGCTGGCTGGCTTGCACAAGCCATTACCTGGCTTAGTCGTGACCAGAAAAGGTTTAGAGGGTGGTCGTGTTTTGCCTAGTTTCCTTCTGTGAGCCTGCTCCTCTCCCCTGCTTATTCCTTGTCGTGTTTAGGCTGATTTCATAGTTTACCTTGGCTGTAGCTTGATGGTTGGGGAGACCAGGAGAGCCTGTGGGAGCTGCATGAACAGAACACATAGCCTCCAGTCTGTTTTCAACCCTTTTAGGTCCTGTAGCTTGTGGGCAGGTGGGCTATGTTCTTATCTGTTTTGTCGTTCCAAGAAGACAAATTGAAATAATCTCTGATTTCACTGTGTCTTAATTAAACAACTCCCTAAGGCTGGAGCCGAAGGATTGAATTACCAATTCAGCCCTCCATCCTCCAAGGTATTTTTCCTAGTCGAGATTGAACAGATGCTCAATAGTAAACAGGTCTCAATGACTTTGCAACTTTAATGTCTTTCTTTCTGAAAGTGAGTCCTTCCATTTCTCAACATCATTGTTTTTAGCAGACACTCTAAAGCAGACCACAAAATTTTCACAGGAGTTTGCCCGATGTTTTTTTGCAGGGGGTGAGTGTGTGTGCTCCAGCTCTCCTGGCCAGCTGGATACTCTGGGCCACTCTTGCAGCTGCCTGCTGCGAGGTCTGTCCCCACTCAGAGATGGTGGGCAAGGCAAAAACACAGGATCTCTTGAAGAGTATGTCAAGACAAAAGTAGCTTGCTGTCGTGCTGCAGACCCGTGTCCAAGGTCCCTCTGAGAGACTCTCGGGGTTGCTGTTGCTGAAGTTAACAAACCCACCTTGCTTTGCTCTGGAAGGGGCCAACCAGTAGAGTGTTGGAAGGAAGAAGCATCTATCAGAGGTGTCCCTTGCCCTCTCCAGCTCTCCACATTGTCTTCCCCATACAGACCAGCTGTGGCACTGCCTTTCTGGGGGCCATGGCTGCCAGCCAGCCTCTGGAGCAGGGCTGGCACGGCACGGAAGTTGGGTGACAGGTAATGGTGTATTGTCGGGTAGTGCAGAGACGTGCATACACTGAAGGGAGCTGCAGCCCTCCTTGCATTCATCTGTGGTTTGCTTTTTCTTCCCAAGCTTCCCAGTGATCTCATGCAAGCCCTTATCTTGCTCTGTCCCGTCCTTCCCACCACTGCTCCCCTGTGGAGAAGCTGCAGGAACAAGTGTGTGGAGGGTAGCTTGTGGTGCTGGGTGTGACCTCCGTGGTGTCTGGCAGGAAGTGGGCAGCTTCTTATCACTCACCACTGCCTGCTTGGCTTTTTACTTTCTCCTTCCCTGGAGATATCAACATCTCTCAGTTCGGTTGGTGGGTTCTTGGCCAGGACTGACTGGGTGCTTCCCTCCCTCTGTGCAGGGATTACTTTCCTCCTTCCCACCCCTCTGAAGGCGGTTGGTAATCCCTGATTCACTGCCGCTTGTTAAGTTTAGAGCTGAAATGCCACTGTGCCACCTAGAAAACAGCTGATCAAGCGAAACTGCCAGCTCAGCAGAGCTCATTTCCATTGGTAATTTATTGACATTTGTCCAGCTGTACATAATAGACAATGGAAAAACGCTGCCAAGCAAAGGCTCAGCTTGGTTGTTTACTCAGGATTATCTGAGCTCTCCTGTTCCCATCGCCTCCCGCACCAGCACCTTGAGGCCCATGTTACAGCTTCCCACACCCCACAGGGAGCTGGAGTTGCACAAGGGGTCTCCAAACAGCGTTCTGGGTGGTGCAGCTACCTTGCCCAGGGACCACTAGGAATTGTGTTATCTTTCAAGAGATGTACAGATAAACTGTTTAAAAATACAGGCTTTCGGGGCCATCCCCATGCCTCAGTGGAATTTGGTTTCAGTCCAAGCTGAACAAAAACAGTAAAATTGCTCATGTCAGAATTTTCCATGAGCTGGGAACTGCCTTGACCCAAGAGGCAGCAGATGGTATGTGCGAGGCATTGAGCAGCCCTGGGCTGTGCCCATGGGACAGCTGTGTAGCCAGCACTGTGCCTTTGAAATGTCCGCTGCTCCCCCAGCCTGGCTGCGCTCACTGGGAGCCCTCTTGCCTTTCTGTTTGCCAGCCTGACTTGTGCTTTGGTGCATGGATAAGATCCTGTTGCCTTCCCTTTTTCCTCCTGATCCACAGCCAGACAGCTTGTGATACATGGTCCCTCCTTCCTCTTGGTGCTTTGCTGTCCATGTTTGTGGTGTTCTGTAGCTCACAGTTGCTGCTTTGGGGCATCCCTGCGCTCCAGGTTGCCAGCCTTGGAAAGGGGTGGGCACTGTTGAGGAAATGGGCCTCGAGGCTTGTCTGCCCCCAGTCCCACCAGCAGGCACTCTGCAAAGCCCAGAGTACAGCACAGGTCCCAAGGACATGGGATTTCCCCTTCAGGTCTATTTTTGGTCCACCTACTTTTCCAGGCCTTTGGACTCCTGATGCTTAGCAGCCCCTGTAGAGAGGTTTGAGGGGAGGGATCATAATTCTCTGCAGACTCACCTCAGGAACAGAAGCAGGGTGGGAGCACCTTGCTATTAGTGGGGCCAGAAACCAGGTAGTGGCATGATGGGTCTGCCAGATGGGTGGGGCACTGAGGTTCCCCAGGAATGAACTCATGCAAAGGGGTCTTTGTGGCCAGCTGGGACTGTGGATGTGGTTTGCGCGTGGCCTCTTTTGGGCTGGCCAGGCTGCACCTCCTTCCACAGGTAGGAAACTGTGCACAGCTCACCCCTTTAAGTTTGTCCATTAAATAGTGCTGCTTAATCACAAAGCTCTTTGCTCCAGCCAGTTGCAGTCCCAGTGAGATTATCTATTTTGGTTAGGAAAGCAAAGCTAAAAACTGAAATCCCTGTACAGAGAAGGTTACCAGCACTTTTCACTACAGGATCAGATCATTAGATCTAATGTTAGACATTTCCACAGCTACAGGTTTTTCTGATGAAGACTTTTTCTTAAAGGCACCATTCTGGGGGATCACGTGATGCATAAGGATCTCAAATTCTTTTGGAAAAAGGTGCTTTTTAGACTTTTCAGGGGGCTTGTGAGGAAGCACTTAAAGTAGCCAAATGCATTATAGGATATAGAAAAAACCCACAAAAGATTAAGCTGTTCACCTGTTTTAAAACCTTTTTTTTTTTTCCCAGGCTGCTGAGTGTTACTAATACTAACAACTTTAAAAACCAGCACAAGCAGGGCACCCAGAAACCCTGTATCATCGGGATGTGCTTCACCTAATAGCCAAGCAGATGTTGGTTTGCTCGTTGATATGCCTTGCCAGAGCCTGGGGTTGGGAGGAGGATGGTCTTGCTTTAATGGTGTTTATATGGGAGGGGAGGCTCATTGCTATTATTTTAGCAGTGTTTAGGAGACATTTTAGTACTCTTGAGAATGCCAGATTGATCGTGTTCAGCCGTGGCGGGCCCCATGCCACAGTTTACCCACAGCGTTCCCTGGTGCTCGAGTACTGGCTGGCTGAGAGCACAGCCCAGATGCATCCCTGCCAAAACCCAGGCTGCTCTCAGGCACAGGTCTAGATCCAAATCCTGCTGCCTGGATCCCTTAGATAAGAGAGATTAAAGCAGTTGTGGTTTTAGCACTTTGGTTTATTGTGGTGCCTGGAGGCCATTGCTGAGATCATCATCTCCTTCTCAGCCTTTCTCATAGCATGTCTGTGTAATGAGGCACATGTTGCTGTTGTGCACTGCAGATGCCAGTTTTACTGGTCTTGCACATTTTGGAAGTCTTGCATATTCTTGAGTGCCACCTGCTGGCTTTTTGGTTATTAACTGGTTTTATTCATTAACCTTTTCTACACACAATGTTAGAAACTGCACAGATAGCTGTAAATCAAAAGTTCTAGTTCTGAGGAAGTTCTACTCGGTGCATCTGAGACCTCTGTAGATGAAGGAGAGTGGAAACATTGTCTCCACTTCACAGACATGAAATGGAGACACTTGATAAAAACTTCTCTTACTGTCACTCCTCCTGCCACTGGCAGGAGCGCTCTCTGGGTCCTGCAAGTGGTTAGGCTCAGGTGGTTTCTGTAGGCAAGGTTTTGGGTCAGGAAACAGGTAGTGAATCTTTTCCTCTTGGATACCTCTACGGAGGTGTCTGGCCACTGTGGTGGGAGGGGCTTAATGAGCAGAAGGACCTTCCCTTGCCTTACTCCCATGAGAGATCGCCCATCTGCCAGCTCACAGAACGGTCCTGGCTGTGAGCAGCTCTGGGAGGTTTTGGGGTATTGTTTTGCCAATTATCAGGCCTTGCATAAAGGACACAGCCAGCATAAAGATGAACCAATAACCAAATTGTACTTGATACAAAAGGGTCAGTACATGGGTGAGTGTTGGCGGTACAAATAAATCAGATTGTACATAATCGACATCAATCCTACTGACCCCAGCAATGGGTGGAATAAATGGTGACATGCAGTCTCTCATAGAAGGGATGAGAGACAACTGAATCAACAAGCCAAATACAT